AGGAGCAAGCATCTTTTAATTCCATGAATGCAGTCACCATCTGCAGTTTTTGGATGCCTAGAAAAATAGTCAGCTACTGTTTCCACTGTTTCCCCATCTATTTGCCATGAAGTGATGGGACCAGATGCCATAGTCTTAGTTGTCTGAATGTTGAGTTTTAAGCCAACTTTTTCACTTTCCTCTTTCACTTTCATCAAGAGGTTCTTTAGTTCTTCTTCACTTTCTGCCATAAGGGTGGTATCATCTGCATATTCTGAGGTTATTGACATTTCTCCTGGCATTCTTGATTCCAGCTTGTGCTTCATCTAGCCCAGCGTTTCTCATGATGTACTCTGAATATAAGTTAAATAAGCAGGGTGATAATACACAGCCTTGACACACTCCTTTCCTGATTTGGAACCAATCTGTTGTTCCATGTCCACTTCTAACTGTTGCCTCCTCACCTGCATACAGATTTCTCAGGAGGCAAGTCAGGTGGTCTGGTATTCCCATCTCTTAGAGAATTTTCACAGTTTGTTGTGATCCACACAGTCAAAGCCGTTGGCAAAGTCAATAAAGCAGAAGTAGGTGTTTTTCTGGAACTCTCTTACTTTTTCAATGATCCAACTGATGTTGGCAATTTGTTCTCTGGGCCTTTTGTAAATCCAGCTTGACTATCTGGAAGTTCACGGTTCATATACTGTTGAAGCCTGGCTTAGAGAATTTTGACCATTACTTTGCTAGCGTGTGAGATGAGTGCAATTGTATGGTAGTTTGAACATTCTTTGGCATTGCCTTTCTTTGGGGTTGGAATGAAAACTGACCTTTTCCAGTGGCCACTGCTGAGTTCTCCAGATTTGCTGGCATATGGAGTGCAGCACTTTCACAGCATCATCTTTTAGGATTTGAAATAGCTCAACTGGAATTCCATCACCTCCACTAGCTTTGCTCGTAGTGATGCTTAATAAAGGCCCACTTGACTTCACATTCCAGGATGTCTGGCTCTAGGTGAGTGATCACACCATTGTGATTATCTGGGTCATGAAGATCTTTTTTGTATAGTTCTTCTGTGTATTCTTGCCACCTATACTTAATATCTTCTGCTTCTGTTAGGTCCCTACCATTTCTGTCCTTTATTGAGCCCATCTTTGCATGAAATGTTCCCTTGGTATCTCTAATTTTCTTGAAGAGATCTCTAGTCTTTCCCATTCTATTGTTTTCCTGTATTTCTTTGCAGGGGTCGCTGAGGAAGGCTTTCTTATCTCTCCTTGCTCTTCTTTGGAACTCTTCATTCAAATGGGTGTATATTTCCTTTTCTCCTTTGCCTTTACCTTCTCTTCTTTTCATGGCTGTTTGTAAGGCCTCCTCAGACAACCATTTTGCCTTTTTGCATTTCTTTTTCTTGGGGATGGTCTTGATCACTGCCTCCTGTACAGTGTCATGAACCTCCGTCCATAGTTCTTCAGGCACTCTATCAGATCTAATCCCTTGAATCTATTTGTCACTTATGCTGTACAATCATAAGGGATTTTATTTAGGTCATACCTGAATGGCCTAGTGGTTTCCCCTACTTTCTTCAATTTAAGTCTGAATTTGGCAATAAAGAGTTCATAATCTGAGCCATAGTCTGCTCCTGGTCTTGTTTTTGCTGATTATTTAGAGCTTTTCCATCTTTGGCTGCAAAGAATGTAATCAATATGATTTTGGTATTGGCTGTAGTCTGGTGGGTGCTAAATGGCAGGTATTCTTTCCTTCCTGAGTTCCCTCAGGGCTCACCATCAGTGGTAACTTGCAATCACTGTTGACTGTAACATCCTTTCTTTACTGATATGGGTGGAAATATTCCTTTTCTCATTCTGCCTGGCCTGAGATGAACAGATATCTAGAAAAAGATTTTGATATTCAGAGCTATGACAAAGTCACCTCTCTTTCATCAGACCACATGCTGAGTTGCCATATGACCAGACAACCAAACGGAAGAGGCCCATATGTCCAATAGGAAGTTGGGAGATGGAGTGAGGCAGCAAGTGTGACAATGTGCAATAGACCAAAATGAAAGTCCCCAGAGACTGGGAGGCTTTGATATACCAAAAAGGAGGGTCTCTCTATCTATTTTTATCAGTGCTGCCCCAGCACTTGTAGAGCAAGGCTGGACAATGTGACCAATGATCTTGGGGCAAAGCCAGTGCTAGACCATGGACAGAGACCAAATACATTGAAATAAAGCTCACACAGAGTGTACAAAGGTGAGAGATATGACCTGCTTTCTTAGATGAGAGTACTCCTAAGGGGACATTACTTTTGTTAAAATGGACCACTTTTGTTAATATATATTCCCAGGCAGCTCATTAGTAAAGAATACACCCGCCAATGCAAGAAATGCAAGAGACTCAGGTTCAGTTCCTGGATTGGGAAGATGCCCCCGAGTAGGAAATGGCAACCCACTCCACTATTCTTGCCTGGAAAATCCTGTGGACAGAGGAACAGGTGGTCTGTAGTCCTTAGGGTTGCAAAAAAATGCCAGACATGACTGAGCAAACACACACATTTAATATATATGTATGTGTATATATATATATATGTATATATGTATGTATGTGTATATATATTGAGAAATAAAATATTGCCTGCCATATCAGTAAACAAAAGATGTCACAGTCATCAGCGATAGCAGCCACTGATAGCAACCAGTGAGCCTTGAGGGAACTCAGAAAGGAAATGAAGAATACCTTTCATCTAGCAGCCATCAGGGGGCTTCCTAGGTGGCACTAGCGGTAGAGAATCTGACTGCCAGTGCAGGAGACGTAAGAAACATGGAGTCGAACTTTGGATCTGGAAGATCCCCTGGAGGAGGGCATGGCAACCCATTCTAGTATTCATGCCTGGAGAAGCCCATGGACAGAGGAGACTGGCAGGCTATGGTCCATAGGGTCGCAAAGAGTCAGACACAACTGAAGTGATTTAGCATAGCAAACAGCAGCGATCAGACTGCAGCCACTCCCTACATGAGCCCTGAGAAAACTCAGGATGTGAAAACACAGGATACTGGCCCAGATAACTGAGGTACACATCAAAGAAATTATTTCAGTGAGCCCAGACTCTTGCATCTGCCCATACATAGAAAAGTGTTGAATTCCATGGGATATCTAGTTGTTTTTTTTTTTAATTAACAGTTACCTTTTTTTCCAACTAGCTGCCCTTTGTTGCAAAACTCCTATATATCCTGGCTTCCTGCTCACTTCTCGAAGCAGTTCTCTCAGGGTTACTTGAGATACTACCTTCCTCTTGGACTTGAAGTACTAAAAATTTCTGCTGAATAAAACATTACCCAACTTTTAGGTTGTGCATATTTTTTTCGTCAACAATATCTAGATCTAGATCTATATTACTATATCATCATCTTCTGATGATCACAGGGAGCAATAATACCATGTTGGTGTTATTCCAGTGTTGCTCAACCATACAAAAATGGCACATTTTCCTGCTCCCCCTTTCTGACTGACTAATATTTTAACTCTCAACAAATGAGCATGGGCAAAACTAAAATGTCCAGCAACTGACTAACATTTTAACTCCTGACAAATGAGCATGTGCAAAATTAAAATGTCCAGCATTCATGGCAGCCAAGGTGTTCCTGAATCTTCCTAAAAAGTTTTTTTTACTGGGAAAGGAACCTATGAAAATGCTTCATTCCATTGCCCGTCCTTCTCCATCTCTTTCTGCCTTACCTTTCAGAATTAAAATATGAGTAGGGGTGGGAAGTTAGGATGCAGTACTCTGCCCTGTCAAAAAAATATCATAATGTAACAAAATTATTGAGTCAATTTTCTGGTCATCAGAGACCTAGTCTTAGAGAAGTGGTATCTGGTGAAGGAGGAGTTAAGTGTTATTCTACCCCCATTTAGGTAAACAGGATTGATATTTTAATAAAGTAGAGGACAGAATTATTTTCCCTATCCTAGCTCCAATGACTTCTATGTAAATATTCATATGCTTCATTATGCTTTGTTAATCTAATTTTCATTGTACTCTAGATTTTCTTTCTTCTTCTTCATCTCTCTCTCTCTTTTTCTCTTCAGTTTTCATAGCAGTTCTGTAGAAGTAGTGATATTTATCAGGTCTGACCAATAAAAAATGATAGTTTAAACCAAAGGAACCAATGGAAGTTTTTGAGTAGGAGAATGACATAAATTACCTCTTGTTTTTCAACCAGATAAATCTCTTGGAAGGGGTGACAATAGATTGAAGGATGTGAGAAGGTCCTGGTGGAACATAAATTAAAAATAAGACATACATTAGCACTGTTGGGAGAGGGTGAAGGGGGTATTTATTTCAGAAGAAAATTGGCAGATTGTACTAAATTCCAAACTCTCTTTGAGTTGCCTGTGAACATCCAGATGTTAAAGTGCAATAGGCATTTGAAAACAGAGATCCTAAATAATTTTTAGGCATTTCCTCTCTATAGAAGCTAATCACACGACCTACAGTCTTTACTCTTAGTATTATATTTTTGTTAACCAAGTTCGTGCACCCAACACACAGTGCAGCCAAACAAACCGAAACGTCGGAGTTTGGAAGCAGAGAAATATTTCCTGCAGGGCCATGCAAGGAGATGAGGTGCCTCATGCCCTAAAAATCCTTGTGCTCCCAGAAGGGTTTCAGCAAAGCACTTTTAAAAGCTGGTGAGGTGCGTTGGTGGTGGGGTCAACAGGGTACCTGATCTACTTGTGTACAAGTCTCTGATTGGCTGATGGTGAGGTTACAGGGTGGTGTCACAGGGGTTAATTTTATAGTCTTTTAGGCTCCAGGAGGCCTGGGAGCTATGTGCTCATGGTCATCTAGTAGTGAACATCTTCATTTGGTGGGGGTTTTCACATCTGCAAAAAAAACTCCGGAAATGTGCATCAGATACCATTATCTAGGTACTTCAGAGAGGAGCTAAGGCCAAGGATATAGGTAGGGGAAGGCCTGTCCTAGGAAGGCCCAGTGGGTCCTGCTCAGTAACTTTCGGTCTTTTTCAGTGAGAGTCAGCAGAGAGGACTGCCTTTCTCCAGACAGTTTGGATATCCGTGGATCGGGTTGTTCATTTATATAATAGCAGAATTATGACTGACGCGAAGCTTCCGCCCTCATTATGTGCTGGAAGGAACTTTAGACAAAATACTGTATGTTCCATCTAGAGGGTTTGTAAACATTTCAATGCCGGAAGCACAGACCTCTGGAAGCAAAAATACGTACCATCCAGGGCATGGGAAACCTGCACAACCAAGGTATGGGCTGAGAGGAACATTGCTTCCCTTTGGCTTCTCTTCATATCGCTCTAATTTCTTTTTTTCACATTTTTTTTAGGGGGATTCTCATTCTACTTTATTTTTTAAATTTGAAATATAGTTGATTTACAATGTGTGTATATATATACATATATATATAAATGATATATAAATATATGCATTTTCTTCAAATACTTTTCCCTTATAGGTAATTACAAAATTTGGATCCCTCTAATTTTTATAGTGGCTAGAAATTCTAGGGGCCTATCATAATGCTCTGGGTTGACCAAAACTTTCATTTGAGTTTTTGTATAACATCTTATGAAAAACCCCAATGATGTTTCTTGCCAACCCAGTAATATTTCTCAAGTACTCACTGCATTCCAGTACCACCTGGCCCTTGTAGGTATCATCACTTTACTCATCTCCACAACACTCTGAGTAAGATACTTCACTGTTCTGATTTACTGATGAGGAAACCAAGGCTGAAAGAGTTGACGCGGGTTACTAAGCTCTCCCAGCCTGTGAGTGCCGATCCCCCACGCCCTGTTCTTTACCACTGCATTGCATTGTGAGTCACCACGCAGTCTAGACAGATTGGATATACCCTCCTTGCATTTGTTTCTACGACTTGGCTATGAGTGCATTTAAATAGTGAATGTATATTCAGGCAGAAGAAAACCTGCCCCACAAAGCTTAATGTTGTATTTGACATTAAGGATAATATTAGTTGCTGTTGTTTTCCTCCTTGTTACTCAGACATGCAGTGACTGCGAAAGACTTGCAGGTTCCAAGGAGGAAATCTTTTCAGGTAGATAATTCTGAAAACAGAGTACGTGATTTGTAATTCAAGTAAGAAAGATTGTAGGATTCCTGAGATTCTCCTTTTACTTTGCTAGGTTATACAAGGGTGAGGTGAAGGAGAAATGGAAGTTTATGGGCCCTTGGAGTTGATGAAACACAGTAAAGAGACTGGTTGATGTCATGGCTTATTAATATGCATGATGTCATGCATATTAACATCCCGGCTTGGCCCATAGTAAGCACCCAATAAACATAGCTGTTATCATTATTAACGCTGATATCATTAGTAGATAAGTTCATACAATATGCATGCGTGCTCAGTTGCTTCAGTCATGTCTGACTCTTTGCCATCCTATGGACTGTAGCCTACCAGGCCGTTCTGTCCATGAGACTCTCCAGGCAAGGATACTGGAATGGGTTACCGTGCTCTCCTCCAGGGGATCTTCCTGGTGGAGGGATGGAACTGGCACTGCTCTGCAGGTGGATTCGTTACCACTGAGCCATCGGGGAAGCCCCCAGGACATTCCTGGTATCTCCTTAAAGGCTTCCCAGTGGCTCAGATGATAGAGAATCTACCTGCAATGCAGGAGATCTGGGTTCGATCCCTGGGTTGGGATGATCCCCTGACGAAGGGAATGGCTTCCTATTCCAGGATTACCTTGCAATTGTTTAGTGTGTCAATAGAGAAAAAGCACTGCCATTTTATTTGCTTATTTGATAGGTTATCTTGTCATCAGAGGAAAAAGCAGTATCGATGAATAAAAGCCAAGTCTCTTTTGTCGTTGTTGTTGTTTAGTCTCCAGGTCTCATCCAATCCTTTATTGACCCTAGGGACTATAGCCCACAAGGCTCCTCTGTCCGTAGGATTTCCCAGGCAAGAATAGTGAAGTCGTTTGCAATTTCCTTCTCCAGGGGATATTCCCAACCCAGAGACTGAACCCATGTCTCGTACATCTCCTGTGTCTCCTGCATTTCAGACAGATTCTTTACTGGTAAGCCATCAGCGAAGGCTTACCCCTACATCATTGTTAATTGCCAACAAAATACACAGTAATTTCCCTTTTATAACTCTCATGACACTTACAGGACCTTGCTGGGTGCCTTCTTCCTGCTAAACTTTTAGTCTTAGATCATGTTTTGTCTGAGGCAGTGTTTTATCCTTAGGATCCAGCCCAGAACTTGGGAACTGATAGAAACTCAATAAATATGTGTTCAAGCAATGAATGAGTGAGCACATTGTGCAGTTCTGAACAGCTCTTGAGAACAAAGTGTAGAATGTCACCCTTATCACAAAGAACTTACACTCTTAATTTAAATAACAATGCATTTACAAATAATGCTTCAAGGCAGCAGTTAGAAAGTATTAAGAAGGAACCAGATGGTGAGTTTCCAAGGAAATAATTCCATCAATAAATTCAGAGAATTTAGAATTTAATTTGAGACAAGACTCATGGGTAGGATTTATAAAAGGAGAAAAGGGCTGTGATTCCTCTATATTATTTGTGATTTATTTTTTTAATTGCAAGAGTAATTCAAGCTTGTTACATATAACATGTATAAATGTGTATAAAATAAAGATGTATAAAGAAAAAGCTAATGATCTCTTTTCACTATGGCTTCCATTTCAGATCCAATTCTCTCATGTAACCATCATTAATAGCTTGATATTAACACTTTTCTCTGTATTTGTTCTGTTTATTTGTTCTTTCTTCTAAATCAGATCATATGCATATGACTTTCCAAGAGGCATTCTTTATATAATACAACATGGAGTTCACTCCTTAATTCAGGGATCTTTCATTATTTTTAGTAGTTGCATAACATTCCTCATATTTTCATTAGTCTCATGATGATAAACTTCAGATTGTTAATGGCTTTTTGTTTTTACCACTACAGGCATGTATACACATATACATTTGTTCTTATAGTTATTCCCATAAAATAGGTTTCCTATCCCTGGTGGCTCAGATGGTGAAGAATCTGCCTACAATGCAAGAGACTTGGGTTTGATCCCTGGGTCAGAAAGATCCCCCGGACAAGGAAATGGCAACCCCCTCCAGTATTCTTGCCTGGAGAATTCCATGGACAGAGGAGCCTGGTGGGCTAGAGTCCATGGGATCGCAAAGGGTCAGACATGACTGAGCAACTAACACTTTCATTTTTCTTTCAAGGTAGAGTGTGTCAATTTTTTTTTTTAATCATCATTGATAGATTATTTTCCAAAAGCGTTGTAACAATTTATGTTGCCAAAAACAATGACAGTGTTTTCTCTATCTCTGGCACCTTCTGATACATTAATCTTTTGAAATGATTACTAAATCTGATGGCAAAATATGATACAGATATTTACACAGACATGTTTTTCTGACTAATAGTGAATCTGGACATTTTCATCCATCATTTGCTGTTAATATTTTTAGATTATCTTTTAACCTTTTAATTTAATTTATTGTCTTTTTTTTGGGAAGTGATTTGCAAAAACTTTTTGTATGATAAAAGTATTAATCATTTTTTATATCTTAGTGTTTGATTTTCTCTTATCTATCATATTTTTGTTGGTAAACTTTATATATTTATGTGGCATCTTTTATCATATAAAAACTTTAAATTTCTCACATGGTCATATAAGTCTTTTATTTTATAACTGTTCCCTAGGAGATGAATTTCAAACAGAGAGAAAGCCATGTGCCTTTCAATGGAGACACACATTGAAAGACATTTTAATGAACAATGAACAGACACATTGGGCAGGAATAGAAGGTTATACAGGTCAGTGTCAAAAAATAATGCCAGAAAGTTCCATTGATGCCAGTCTGTGAAAGTCCAAACACTAGACTAATTAGTTTGGACTTGACCTAGAAACACAGAGGAACTGCTGAAATGTTTTGAATAGGGCAGTTTTATATTGAAAATGTGATTTTATAAAGATTAAGTTTGCACGGTGGTTTGAAAAACTGAAGTTCAGTGTCAAAGAAATCAGTATTTCAACAACTATGTATTGAACAGACACAGTTGTAGGCACTTGGAATCACCAGTGAATAAAAGACTGTGGAGACCATTTAGGGCTCACTTGCAAGGGTTAGTGTATGAGGACAGGAAGAGGTTAAGTAATAGCAGTAGAAATGGAAGAAAAAGAAAGGATGGATGTGAGAAAAAATAAGCATCAAGATGGGAGATAGAAAGGAGGAACGAGGACTTCCCTGGTGGTCCAGTGGCTAAGACTCTGTGCTTCCATCCCTGGTCAGGAAACTGGATCCCGCATGACTGTGATTTATTAATAGTTTTCTAGGGCTGTAATAACAAAATACCACAAACTGGGTGGCTTGAGCAGCAGAAATTTATTGTCTTGCCATTCTGGAGACTGGAAGTCCAAGGACAAAGAGTTGGCAGATTTAGTCTCTCTTAGCCAAGACCCCTTTTGTTGACTTACAGATGGTTGTCTCCTCACTGTGTCCTTACATGGCCTTGTCAGGGTAAGCATAAATATCCCTCATATTCCTTTCTGTGTTCAAGTTTCTCTTCTCATAAGGATACCAGTAAGATTGGATTGACTGCCCTAAAAGCCATGCTTTAAGTGAACCACCCTTTTAAAGGCCTTATCTCCAAATAGCGTCCCATTCTAAAGTGCTAGTGTAGGGCTTGGACATACGGATTCTGGGGTTATGGTTGTTGTTCGGTCTCTAAGCCATGTCCAGCTCTTTGTGATTCCATGGACCGCAGCACGCCAGGCTCTTCTGTCCTCTGCCATCTCCCAGAGTCTGCTCAACTCATGTGCACTGAGTTGCTGATGTCTAATCTTCTGCTGCCCCCTCCTTTTGGCTTCAGTTTTTCCCACCATAAGGGTCTTTTCCAATAAGTTGGCTCTTTGCATCAGGTAGCCAAAATATTAGAGCTTCAGCTTCAGCATCAGTCCTGCCAATGAATATTCAGGGTTGATTTTCTTTGGGACTGACTGGTTTGATCTCTTTGTAGTCCAAGGGACTCAAGAGTCTTCTCCAAGACCACAACTTGAAAGCATCAGTTCTTCAGTGCTCAGACTTAATTTTGGAGAAAGGATACAATTCAGCCCATAACAGACTATGAAACTCCTGTTCTATCCATTGCATCAAGCTTCTAGAGGAAACCTGAATGATGGTCCCACTGCTACATTCAACTTGAATAGACTTATGGTTCTTAAGACTGAGTCCCTTGAAAAT